CCCCCTCCACTCCCTTCTCCCCCCTCTCCCGCTGCCCCCCCACCCCAGCTTCTCACCTGTATTCTGGGATCCAGCTCTTCCTCCTCTCGTGGGGACAGCTTGGTCTCACTGTTGCTGCCACCTCCTCCAGGCTCCTCTGTGGCTGGGCTCCTGGGGACTTCATCCTCCACCACCTCAGGCCGCAGTTCCCCCTGGGGAGTCTCCCGGCCTCCTGGAGCCTTCCTGAAATCAGCCATGCTGGCTGGGAGGGGGCAGAGCCCTATACACAAGGGAGGACTGGCATGCTGGGACAAGGGCCCCAGCTTGAGGCTTCCGGGCTGTGGATGTCAGCGAAAGGCTTCTCTTCACCAGGCACAGAAAGGGGACGGGACAGACCTCACAGAGGGTCAGAGGCTAGGCTCCAAAGGGCTGGTCCTGGAGCTCAAGCCTTGTCTGTATGGATGTTCCTCCCACCCTAGCACAGGGAGTCCACAGGGCACCAGGAGCAAAGGGGGCCTGGATCTTGGACTGAGGCCTGCAGGCAGGGGCACCATCCGGGAGAGAGGGACAGGCGCCCCAGGCTGTGGGGCAGGTACAGCGAAGCTGGGTCCTCGGTTGGAGCAGGGCTGGAGATGAGCGTCTGCAGAGCGACAGCAGAAATAAGGCCAAGTTAGCCAGGTCAGCATCAGAACCTCAGCCAGCAGTCCAAGCCCACCTGACACTCCCAAGAACACTGCAGCAGTCCCCAACCCGTGTCCACACAACAGCCCCAAGCCCCAGTGACCACACAGTTGTCCCCAATCTCAGTGGTGACACTGCAGCCCCCAACCCCAGTGTCCACACCCCAGGATCCACACAGCAGCCCCAACCCCAGTGTCCCCAACCCCAGTGTCCACACAGCAGCCCCCACACTCGTGTCCAGACCCGCCCCCCCAAGGACCTTAGATCTGACCTGCCCTGTCCCAGCTGCTCTCGCCCACCCTCCCCAGCAGCGCGTTCCAGACGTCCACCTGAGCCCCGCTGTCCTCCACACCTTCTCCGGCCGTCACCCCGGGCTTTGCGATTCGGGTAGCACCCAGCCTCGCCTCCCCAGCACCACCGCAGACAGTCCGAGCCTCCGGCCTCCTACCCCCCGGTCTTCTGCAGCCCCAAGGTCCCAACCCCAGCCATCCCGATGGCCACGAGCAAAACCCCCTGCAAGGCTTTACCTCAGTTTACCTTTCTGTGCGCCGAGCTTCTGGGCAGCAAACAATCCTCCCCCTCCCTCTCCGCAACAAGGCGATCCAACCAAAAGACGCCCAGGCGGGAAGGAAACGGAAACACGACATCCCGCACCAGCGCCGTCCCGCCCCAGTTGTCTGAAAGCTCCGCCGAGTCCGCAGGCCCCCGCGGCCGAGCTATCGGCGTCCGTACAAGATGGCGCCACGCTATGTGCAGAGTCGCCTTTCGTTATCCCCGTTCATCCTGCACCAGAGCTGAGAGAAAAGCCTGCATACGTGTGTGGCTCTGAACAAATCCGTGGTGGGTCATGGAGACCGATCCTCCCCACCTCACTAGGGAAATGCTAGAATACTGTCGGTCCGAGCAAGCGGGCCATCTTGCTTTACGGCGCTCGTCGTCGTGCTTTATGGCGCTCGGCATCATGCTTTACGGCGCTTACCGTCGTGCTTTACGGTAATCACAGTCGTGCTTTACGGTAATCACAGTCGTGCTTACGGCTCTCGGGCTCAGGCTGTAGAATAGTCGCTTCCGCTCGCAAACTGGACGTAAGCTTGTGAACTTCCGCTTGCGGCGACCCAGGCCTTTCGGACCTGGTCCCTGGAGAAAGACCGGTCTGACTCTGCAGGTCGGAGCTAGGCTCCGGGCTCAGGTCTGCAGAGCGGGATGCTTGGTCCATCGAAGGCCTCCGAGCCTTGAAGCCTTTCAAGGAGGATGTGAATGGGGCGGATGGATGGGGCTCTATGGAGGGTAGTCGGGGTTCCCTGGGGGCTGGACAGGGTTCCATCGGTGTGGACAGGCTCCCTGGAGGATGGACGGGGTTCCCTGGAGGCAGAAGCAAAGGACTCAGCTGTCCTTGTGCACAGTGGTGGGCAGCTTTGCTAGTGAGGTTCCGTCCTGCTTAACATCACTTGTTCAAGGGTCCTGGAGCTCTGTGTAGGGAGTTGTACATAGAGGGAGACTGGACTCAGCTACAGCATTGCGGGGGGGTGGGGTTCGGTGTAGCGAAGAGTAACATAGCTGTCAGTGGATGGAACGTGGCAGGAGGAAGCATGCGGGTTTCCTCATGTTTGGACCGAGCCATCCTAATGAATTCCTGCTGAAGACACGTCTGGAGGGGCAGCGTGTGCCCTGGGTGGGGAGCCTGGCATCCAGGGTAAGGAGGGAAGTGCCCTAGGCAAACTGACTTCTCAAAGTGCTCCCTAAAACTAGGTTTTACAAGATAATGAACGATTAAGTTCAGAAGCTGAATGAAGTTTGACCAGAGAATCATTTTTGCCTCTCCAAGGTGGGGAGAGGAAGGTTCTGTCCTCCTTCATGACTGTTTCAGAGGATGACCCTCAGGTCCTGGAGAAGGACACACCCAAGGTGTAAGAGATATACATCTTAAAGACACAAAGGAAGGGTTCATAACTGCTGCCTTTTGGTAAGTGCTCTAAGAAAGAAAAGTCAGGAACCTGTTTATTCCCAGGTTGGCCAAAACAAACAGTAACCTTAGGGCAGCATGGAGCTTGCTAGGGGGAAGGAGGCTCAGTCATGCCAGGGGCAGGGCCCAAAGTATGAGAAGTCATGGAAGAATCTGGTTATCTCTAGTACAGAGGTTTGGATGGAGACGTTCAGTGCCCAGAGCTCTTCAGTTCCCACTTCCCTCCTTCCAGTCAAACCCCATGAATAGCCACATAAGGACTGGGAACGTAGTCTGGTGGTAGACTGTGCCTAGCATGCTGGTGGCCCTTGATTCACCCCCACCATCAAAAAAAGTATGAAAAGGTATGGGCTGGAGAGGTGGCTCCTCAGTTAGACACCTGCTGCCAAGTCTGACAACCTGAGTTGGAGTCTTCGGGACTGAAATGGTGGAAGGAAAGAGCCGATGTCTTCTGACCACAGGCATGCCATGGCACATGCACATTAAAAAAAAAAAATAGAAATGGGGCTGGAGAGATGGCTCAGCAATTAAAAACACTCACTGTTCTTGCAGAAGACCGAGGTTCGAATCCCAGCACCCACGTGGCAGCTAACAACTGTCCATAACTCCAGTTCCAGGGGATCCAACAGCTTCTGTCTTCCTCGGGCATTGCACGACACAGGTGCACTTATCTACACACAGGCAATACACACATACACAGAAAATAATAAGTTTTTTTTGTTTTTTTTTTTTTTTTGTCGTTTTGAGACAGGGTCTCCCTGTAGCCCCAGCTGACCTGAACTCACTATGTAGACCAGGCTGGCCTCAAACTCGCAGAGATCTGCCTGCCTCTGCCTCCCAAGTGCTGGGACTACAGGTGGGTGACACCATACCTGGCCTAAAAATAAAATATTTTTAAAAAAATAGAAGTAGGCCAGCATACCTGTAATCCTATCACTTATGGAGACTCAGGCAGGAAGAGTGCCACAAGTTCAAGACCAGCCTGGTCAGTGTGAGACTCTGAAAAAAATATGTAAAAAGAGGATAGAGGTGTGATCCTGTGGTAGAACATTTGTCTAACACTGACTTCTCATTACAGTAACTCTAAGTGGACAACACTAATGGTGTAAAAAAAAAACACCTGTTTTCTACCACACCCAGTAGAATGAGAATTTCGCTCTAAGAACTGCATTTCCCCCACTGTCTTGTCTACTTTGGCCTGAATTCTCCAACCTTCCCTACCCAGCACTGCAATACCTGTCTTTATTTCCAGTCCAACCCCCAGGCATTCAGTCCTTAAAAATCACAAACTGCTTCTACTTGTCACAGATCTTTTTGCTTTAAAAAGAAAAACTATTTTATATTGTATATGGTGGGGCGGCACCACAGCACACTTGTCAAGGTCAGAGGGCAACTTTGTAAAGTCAGTTCTCTCCGGCCTTTACGTAGGTTCCAGGGACTGAGATCAAGTTGTCTGGTTTGCGCAGCAATTGCCTTTACCTCCTGAGCCATCTCACAGTCCAGACCTTTGTTTTTAATTGTTATTTTCCTCACCACATACCCTACACTAAATTAAAAACTAGTTTTTCTTAAGGGCACAGATGTAGTTCAGTTGGCATGCTTGCTTGCTTAGAATGTTTAAAACTCTTGGGCTAGAGAGATGGCTCAGTGGTTAAGAGCACTGACTGCTCTTGCAGAGGCCCCAGGTTCAAGTCCCAGCACCCATATGGCAGCTATGAACCATCCTTAACTCCAGTTCCAGGGGAATCCGAAGCCCTCTTCTGACCTCCATGGCATTGCACAATACAGGTGCACTCACATACATGCAAGCAATACACTTGTACACATAAAATAAAAATATTTTTAAAAAAAAACCAACATTCAGTTCCCAGCTCTGCATAAATCCTTCATAGTGACACACACCTGTCATCCCAGCACTTGGGAGGTAGAGGCAGGAGGAGAAGACGTTCAAGTCCATTCTCAGCGGCACAGCAAGTTCAAAGCAGCCTGGGCTACATAACACCCTGCTTCCAATTTTTTTAGTTTTTGCTTGGTGGGGGGGAGGGGCTACCAGTAGAAACTAGTCTTTTATCTTCTTTTTCCCCTACCATCTGCTAGATATCTCGTAAATACCACCATCAATTGCTGATTAATACATTACTTGACTAATGTATAAGGACAAAAAATCATCAATGGCCTAAGGAACAGTGGGAAGAACCTTGCGGGTACTAGTTCAATTCCCTTTTTGATTGCAGTGAGAATTTGGGGTTGGGGATGTCTCAAGGCATCCTGGCCTAAAGGTTCCATAACTTCCCCAAACAGCACCACCAACTGAGGACCAAGCGTTCAAATACTTGAGCCGTCTATGCTACTTCTTAGAAAATCTAGTTGAAATCTTGACCCTATAATACATAATGTAAAATCTACAAATAAGTGATAGCGCCAACCTATATTGCTGAGTTTTGCAGAAGTAAATTACTTTTCCCTAGTTCCTTGTCACATTTAGTAATAAACATGTAGTTTTTGTTTTGTGTGAAGCACTATTCTGAGTGCTTTCTGTTTCATTTAGTCCTCAGCACCCACCAGCCGAGGTAAACAGACCACCATTTCATAGCCAAAGAAATTAACTTGCCAAAGGGACTTGTTCTTTACTGCTCTTAAATGTTGCTGCTAAGTAGCAAGTCCAGCTTCTGAGTCTCTGATCAGAACCTTAGAGACAACATCACGTAGCCTCAAGTAAGCTCAATAAAGGCAAGTATTAGAGATTATTTAAAATCCTTTTAACAGTAAATCTAACATGTTAAGCTTAAATGTATCTGATTTCATATTAAGTGTCCCAATTTGGGGGTTGAGGATTTAGCTAAGAGGCCCTAGATTTGGTCCCTAGCACCAGAAAAGAAAAAAAAAATTTAATATTTTTAGCCGGGCTTGGTGGCGCACGCCTTTAATCCCAGCACTCGGGAGGCAGAGGCAGGCAGATCTCTGTGAGTTCGAGGCCAGCCTGGTCTCCATGGTGAATCCAGGACAGCTGGGGCTACAGGGAGACCCTTTCTCAAAAAGACCAAAAAAAATTTTTTTTTATTTTATGTGGATGAGTGTATTGCCTGCATGTAGGTGCACCCATGTCGTACAATGCCCACGGAGGACAGAAGAGGCCATCAGATCCCTTGGGACTGGAGTTACGGCCAGTTGTTAGCTGCCATGTGGGTGCTGGGATTCAAACCCAAGTCTTCTGCAAGAACAGTCAGTGTTCTTAACTGCTGAGCCATCTCTCCACCCCCAATACCTCAATTTTTAAAATAACCAAATTCACAGCTGGAGAGATGACTGAGCTGTTAAGAGCTCTGGCTGCTCTTGCAGGGGACACTGGCAGCTCACCTGTTTTTAACTTCACTTCCAGGTGATCCAGTGCCCTCTTCTGGCCTCCACGGGCACGGCATGACAGGTGCACTTACATTCAGACAAAACACTCAAATCAATTGGCCGGTTGTGGCAGCACATGCCTTTAATCCCAGCAGCTGGATCTCTGAAATCAAGGCCAGCCTAGTCTACATAGAGACTTCTAGGCTAGCTGAGGCTATAGGGAGACCCTGTCCCCAAATAACTTTCCAAAAATCAAACTATTTTCCGATGACACTACAGGTTCATGTATGTTATTTATACTGTTCCACTTAACTTTTAAAGTGGTTTAAAATTATCAAAACAAATTTTATGGGAACTAGGAAGATGGCTCAGCCTTGGTCAGAGAAGCTTCTGGCAGTGGGCAACAGTCAACACAGAATCATAACTGGTCAGATTGCAGAGAACAAGTCATTGTCAAGTGCTCAGCCCTGATCAGGACACTTTTGTCACCCCATCCTAGGACC